GGGTGAGTTTGGTGTGTACTTGGCTGGCTTTAAACCCAGAGATGGATGGGGCCCGAGTCCTGCACCAGAGAGTCCTGCACCATCTCTCGTGACTTAAGTCTCACACACCAGCTTAAGGACCCACTTGCTCAGGAGGGATGGGAAACTCAACGAAGAGAAGCAATGTAAATGTCCCAAGTCCCTTTCACGCTTCCCTCCTATGACTCAAGGCCCCTTGATGGGAAGGACGGGTCAGCACTTCGACATCTTAAAGGCATCATAAACTCCAAATCCCTGGTCATTTCCCCCCCCTCACTCCCGACCTCTTCCCAACAAATTTTCCCATTGCATCGAAAGGCACCACCATCCACCCAGGTTTGGCTCTGTCCCCTCTTTCCCTTCCCGTAGCCAGCCTATCTCCTCTGCCTCCATGCAGTCGGGTGCCCCATCATCTGACTGTACCTTTATCTTTGTCCCCAACTGCCCTGATATCTTTTCCAGTTTCCTGGTGCTCTTGGAATAAAGATACAGGCAAGTTGCCTGGAAAGCCCATGGCCATGTCTCCAGCCCCAACTCCCACCATTCAGGCATACTCTGAAAGCTCCCGGCATTCTAGCTACCTCTGAGTGCCTTGGACCTGCTCGACTCAGGACCTTTGTACATGCTGTTACTCCTTTTTCTCCCACTCCTCCTCCCACTTGCTGAGTTAATTTCCACTCACTTATCTGATCTCTGTGACATCTTCCTCCAGGAAGCTGTTCTTTCCCTCACCTGTGTGTATGGTCTCACATACACCTTGTCACAGACATCTGGAGTCACTTTGAGGCTATTTGACATTTGTATCCTTCACAAGACTCTGAGTTCCATAAGGGCAGGGACTGTCTTATCACTGGTATCCCCAGTGACCAGAACAGGACATGGCTGAAGAAAACCTATGACAAACCTAAACAGTGTATTAAAAAGCAGAGACATTACTTTCCCGACAAAGGTCCATATAGTCAAAGCTATGGTTTTTCCAGTAGTCATGTACGGATGTGAGAGCTGAACAATAAATAAAAAAGGCTGAGCACCGAAGAATTGATGCGTTCACACTGTGGTGCTGGAGAAGACTCTTGAGAGTCCCTTGGACAGCAAGGAGATCAAACCAGTCAGTCCTAAAGGAAATCAACCCTGAATATTCATTGGAAGGACCGATGCTGAAGCTGAAGCTCCAATACTTTGGCCACCTCATGCGAGGAGCCAACTCATTGGAAAAGACCCTGATGCTGGGAAAGATTGAAGGCAGGAGGAGAAGGGGATGACAGAGGATGAGATGGTTGGCTGGCATCATCAACTCAATGGATTTGAGTTTGAGCAAACTCCAGGAGACAGTGAAGGATGGGAACGCCTAGTGTGCTGCAGTCCATGGGATCTCAAACAGTAGGACACAATTGAGTGACTGAACAACAATAACAAATGTCCTTTAGCAAGATGAACCTAATTCTGCTGCTTACTGGCTGGGTACCTTTAGGCTACAGTCCATCAGGTCGCAAAGAGTCAGACATGACTGAGCCACTGGGCACTGGGCACTTCAGACCTCAATGCCCAGCACTGGGCCGTGGAGAAGGGAGGAAGAGAGGAGGGGAAAGGTGGAAAGGATGGCATGAAGGACCCGCTGGCACTCCTAGAGTCTCCAAGGGCCGGAGGATCCAGGGTAGTCCCTACCTGGGGCCTCAGCTGGCAGATGAAGCCTGGAGGTGTCCACTCTTGCCAGCAGGACCCACCAGCCACAGCGGCCAACACTTCCTCTCCAGGAAGCTGGTTCTGCCACGTGGGACTCCAACCTGAGTACAGGGTGGGGAAGGGGGTCTGCTCAGGAAAGAGCATGGGGATCAGAGGCATCTCCCCAAGGCCCCCAGGGCAAAGCCCCAGCTGGTATTCAAGGTGTCCACGAGCTGAAGCTGACCCACCTCCCCAGAGGAGCCCCAGCCATCAAATTCCTCTCCGCTCCCCAGGGTGCTCTGAATCCTCTTGACTGTCCTGCTGTGTTTTCACCAGGAAGGGGCGCTTACCTGCTCCCCTTCTCCACCCGGTCACCTTTGGTTTGTCCGAGATCCCAACTCACACAACACCTTCTTGGAGTCTCTCCCAACTTCTTCAGACAATTTCTCACCTCTCACCTGTAGCTCCCTTACTATTTAGTCAGACCACAAATATAGCATTGTGTACACTCGTTTATGGAATCCTAACAAGACCTCTATATAAGGTGGATACTATTGGTCCCATTTTACAGATTAAGATACTGAGGTTCAGAGTGACTAAGTACCTTGCCAGAATTCTTGCAAGGCAGAGAAGACTGTGGAAGGTCTTTTCCATCTGCCCCCGATGTCCCCACTCCAGGGGAAAGGAGACTTCATAGGACAGAACGGGACAGAGCACATTCACCTCACAAGACCTCAGCCCCTTCAAACTGCCTAATTTGCAGTTTGGAAATGGAAATGCCTGTTCCTGGGTGTAGGCCCCAGGAACCAGGAGGCTGTGTTCATAGCAGGTTGGAACCCAAAAGGCTTTGGTGATGGTCCCTTGGTTCCCTCTGGAGGAGCATGTAGGGAGGTGGGAACACTGCCCCAGAGCCTCATGTGGCAATGATGACAACATCTCCTCCCTCCCGTCACCAGGGGACAGAGCTGGGCTGGCAGCCTGAGCCCAGACTCAGCCCCTGCCCCACCAAGTGCCTGCCTTCCAACCTGAGTCTCTATTTCTGCTGCCCTTCCGGTGCCAACTTCTCCCTCTCTGTCACTCCTCACCAGCCTCAAAGCGACCATCCCTGTTTCCCATGCTGTGTCTCAGTCTCTCTTGGCGCTCCCTTTATCTCTCAGGATCTCCCTTTATCTCTGATTCTTCTCTTCTCGGTCTCCTTTTTCCCCATCGCGCCATCTGTCCACCTGTGACTCTTTCTCTTAGCCTGGGTCCCTGTCTGTGTCTCTCTGCCTCTTCACTGCTCTGTGGCTGTTCCCTCCCTTTCCATCTCTCTCACTGCTCTGTGGCTATTCTCTCTTTCCATCTCCCTTTCCCTGTCTATCAGGGATCGGTCCTTCTGCCTCTCTGCCCTGTATCTTTATCCCGTTGTCCTCTCCGTCTCTGCCTGCGTATCTTTATCACTGTCCCTTTCTGTCTTTGTGTCCCCCTCTTTCTCTGCCTCCCTCCCCAGCTCCCTGTCCCTGTCCCTCTGAATGTCGCACTCTGTGTAGCTTATTCTCAGTCTGGACTCTGGGGAGAGCAAAGCCTCCTCTGCAGCGCCCCCATCCCTGGCCCAACAGCGGGCGCTCCTACAGAAGTTGCTCCCAAGTAGGGGGCGGGGGACCCCCGGGCATCATTCCAGGGCCTGCTCTGTCTGGGTGGCAGTGCTGACAGACGGAGATACGGATCAGACTCGGCTCTGTCCGGGCCTGAGCAAGGGGCACATCCTGGCTATGCGGGGGCGTCTGGGTGCCTGCAAATGTTTGCATGTGTGCACATCTGGGTTTGTGTGCGGGTCTCCCTGTGTGGGGTGGTCTAGGTGTCTGTCTCGATGTATCTGTGAGTGTCTGGGCCTGTTTATGTCTGTCTGCAAGATATGTGGGGCTGTCTGGGAGTGAGCATCTTAGCCTGTGGGTCTATCCATCCTTTTAATGCCTCAAGAGTGTACGTGTGCATGTCTGTGGAGTCAGGGTGTATATGTGTGGCTGTCCGCGGGCCAGGTCCTCTGCTTGCGTTCTCTTACCCAGTCATCAATGAAGGTGTAGATTCTGTTATTCTATTTGACAGGCAGAAAAGTTGAGGCTCTTAACCTCCATGCTTGGCTGTGTGAGTATGAATGTATCTGTTTGAGGTTGACAGCTTGGCATCTGGAGACAGATCTGGTTCAAATCCTGGCTCCTTAACCACTAGCTGCCTGACCCCAGGCAAGTTGGTTAGTCTTGGGCAATCCTGAATTCATTCAACAAAAATGTATCGATCATAACCAGATAAAACTAATCCCTGGTGCTACAAGTCAGAATAGGAGCCACCTTGGGAGGGGCTGACAGGGAGGGGGCCCAAGGGAGACTTCTGGGTGCTGTCAATGTCCTGTGTCTTGATCTGGGTGGTGGTTACCTGGGTGTGTCCATTTGGAAAACAGTAATCAAGCTGTTCATTTTCAGAAATGCACCCTTTATGCACATTATACATCAGTATAAAAGTTTTCAAAAAATTGATCTCTATTTGCCAGGCATTAAATATCAACAGTAGTGTTTTGTGAGTGTGTATGTGTGTTTAACATTTCAGAAAGTGAGTCACTTCAGGCTTTACATTTCTTCCCTATTCCCTTCCCCAACCAGCTCCCCATCATGATGGCAGGAGGCAGAAGGGCGACAGATTGCTGTCCTGGGCTGGACTGCTCCCCTGCCCAATCTTTCCTGGCTGTTGTCTCCTCAAAGAAGCCATGATTTTCCCTCTGGATTTTCAAATTGGTGGGCCACTGTGGGGCTTTTTGCTAGATGATGGCTGGCATTCAATCAAGCTGGTAACAAAAACAGTATATTGCAGCACGGCTCGGGGCAAAACATGGTGGGGTGTAAGATGCCCAGTGGACAGTTGCCACACCTGCTTGATGCATCTGGCAATGACAGGCAATGCCTGGATACACACATTCCTGCTCTCCGCCTGCAAGGTCCTGAGGTGTCACTTGTCATTCCATGAAATACACTAAGCTCCTACTGATGCCAGGTCCTCTGCTGGGCCCTTCAGCACACCTCCCTTCACCCTCACTGCAGCTGTCACGTAAGGGTCATGACTGACACCTCGCTGAGGAAACTGGAACTGGGACAGAGAAAAAGACTTCCTTCAGCTCACACTGCTCAACAGTAGAGAGTCCAACGTCATTCAGCCAGGCTCTCGTCGTCCATCCTCATTGCATGCATCTTTGCTCTGGATTTCTGTGATGACCTGAAGCTTTATTAGTAAAGGAACCAAATTCATTTGGTTTTGCCCTGGTGGAAGATTCTGAAATTCTGTGTCTTTCATTAGGAAAACTTGAGCTTAAGCTGCCCTTTGGTGACGGCATTCACTCCATATGCGAACAGGCCTCCCTCCTTGCGCGACATACCCTTCCAGCCCAGAGAAGAGCAGAAAAGGCAGGTGTGAAGGCCTCTGACCTTTGTCACCTGTATCCAGCATGGCACGCTTATTTATTTTTGAAAGAACAAATGCATAAATGAATGGCATTCTGCTTGCACACTCCTCACTTGGTACATAACACACATGCTAAGACGATCTATTGTCTGTCTCTGCCTCCACTCTAAATTCCTTAAGGGTAGGATTGTGTCTACTTCATCTCTAGATCCCAACAAGCAGCCCAAAGTCTGGCACAAAGAGGGACCCCACAAATATTATAAATAAATATTTATACCTTATTATAATTAAATATCATAGATAAAGAGGGGAAGACTTTGGAATTTATCTCTGGGCTTCAGTAAGACTTTTTTAAGACCTGTGAATTTCACACCTCACTCAACAGCAGAAGCACCAACTAGTTTCAATAAGTGGTTTTATTACTGGTTAGATTTTACAAATTCTGGTATTCGAACAGACTTCCACCTTAAAATTCTAAAACAACAAAGCGACCGTTGGAGGGAGTTTGATTTTTTTCCTTTTTTTTTTTTTTTTCTGCAGCGCCGCCTCCGTCGACTTGTCCACGCCCGTGTTTTCCTGCCGTAAGAGGTTGCGCCTGAACTTGGCCCGGGCGTTCTGAAACCAGACCTGCGTGGGGGAGAGGGAAGGCTTGGTCAGAGGAAGGCGGGGCGGGCAGGACCAGGAGATGGGCAGAGCATCGCCCCCACTGTTTAACCCAGAGATGCTAATGGGGGTTCTGCCCGAATGGGGGTGGGGCTGGGGATTTATTTAAAAGTCTGGCTAGGGACTTCCCTGGGAGTATCAGCCTTCCAATGCAGGGGACACGTGTTTGATCCCTGGTTGGGGAGCCAGGGTCCCTCATGCCTCGGGGCATTAATTGAGCCCCAGTGCTCCAACTAAGACACAACACAGCCAAAGAAATTTAAAAAAAAAAAAAAAAAATTTTTTTTAAAAAAGGTCTGGCTGGCAATACTTTGTTCTTAGTACAATAGAAACATCCTTTCCTCAAACTGCCTGTAATGGGGGTCTCCCCTAGATTCCAGAGCTCAGCCCCTTTCTCCAATATCTTAGCCACTAGCCACATGTGGCCACCCAGCACTTGAAATGAGCCCCTAAACGGCTGGTCTGTAGCTGAGAACCATATATCAGAATGGTAGAACCATATCAGAAGGAGGTAGAATATCTCAGTGGTCACTTTTATTTTCATGAATATATTTTCTATTGGACAAATTGGGCCAAACAAGATATAACCTTACAATTAATTTTACAAGTTTCTTTTTGTTTTAACGAAGGTACTGGGACATTTTCCATGTAAAATTATGTATGTGGCTCAGGCTGCATTTCTCTTCTGTTCTGGAAGATTCGCACAAACCAGATTTCCATCATTTTTCACCATGGTTGAGAGATTTTTCTGAGTAGTCGACTTTAAGCAGGCAAAAGATCCCACAAGTCCTTGTTGGTACCAATTTTCAAGGTTTTCATGGTAAGTCTGGGAAATACCAGAATGGGTGTAAAGAACACACAAGCCTCAAGTCAGTAAACGATACCGCTACTAATCCCCGCCACCATCACGTGGAGAAGGCACCCTGGTCCACTGGGTTTCAGGTCCCCGGGCAGGGTGGGAACAACTGCTCGATTAAAGATCCCCCTCTCCCAACCTGCCCCTCATCCCAGCGTCCTTCACGGGGAGGAGAGGGGCAGTTACTGAGCTTGGTATGAAAAGAATGCCCAAGAGAGAGAATATGGGTTTGCTTTCATTTTTCCCTTGGCGCGGATACAGACACACATCCACGCCCATACCATTGCACACGAGCCTGTACACACAAAGCATCAAAACTTGTCCACGCAGCAGCGCCCCCCACCACTAGCAAACTGCACAGACAGATCCTACTGTACCCTGAGGTCCTCAAGATACTTTGGGAGAAGCCTAGAGAATCTAGGGGGGGTCGGAGGTTCTAGCTCCCAAAGAAAAAAAATGCCAAAGGGCTGGGCGCCTTCACTTCCCTTTGCGTGAGGAAAACACCCGCCAGAAACCTCCCCATAAAACAAAGGGGCTTAGGGAATTTTACAGATTCTGGGGTGTCCAGTTGCATATTTCCAGATGTGCCTGCATTTGCCTGTCTTCCCAGTGTCTCAGACAGGGATGGAAGGGCCAACTCCTGGCCCCACCCTACCCTGGGGACCACCTCAGAGAGAGAAGCCTGTGGCCTCCAACCCTTCTTTTTGGTGGCCTGATACCACTTGGGCTCAATTTAAAAGCACGGCCTCAAGAATCCTGGGGTAAGGAGAGAGACGGCCACTGGGAGGTTGGGAAACAAAGCTCTCTCCCCTGCACGCTGGATCTTTCCAGGAAGAAAGCACATTTTCCCCTGGCCTTCTGCCAAAGCAAGCCCATCACCTCTTCGGGGGGCTCGCAAACAAGGACAGTGCTTCTAAGACCAGCCTCCAGAGGCACTTCTTGGGGTGGGGCCCTCTTCCCTGCCCAGTCTACAGAAATCTGCAGAGGTGAGCCTGTGTGTCTGTCTGGGCCAGAGAATGACCAACAGAGAAAATGATAGAGGAAGTCCCCAGACACCCTCAGAGAGAGAAGTCGACTCCCCCAAAGTGTCGTTGCAGACGAAGGGGACGAAGAAGGCTGGAGCCTTGATGTTCTTGCCATCATCCTATCCTAAGTGTGTGTGGCCCCATGAGTGCCCTGTGAGTCGACTCTCCAAGCAGAAGCAGGAGCTGGAAGCCCGGGGGGCGGTGCATCGCCCATTGGTCTGGGGCTCCAAGCCCTTGGGAAGGGCTGGAACCAGTTAGTTGCTGGCTGTTTGCTATTGCTCCGGCGTTGCCCCTAACAGTGGTTTGTAAACAATGACACCATCTTTCACAACGGCCTTCTCTGGTTTACTGGATCTGAGGCACTGGGAATCTGTGATGAAAGTCAACAACTCAAGCAAAAGCCAGTTGCCGTGTGGGGGTTTATGTGGAGTTTGTTTCTCACCCTAAGCCAGGCGTCACCAGAATTCTCTGCGGTATTTTTTTTTTTTTAATCCCCTCCCAAGAGGATATTAGAACAGGGACCCTGTCTAAGCCATCTTCATGTCCCAGGGGATATCACACAGGGACTGGCAAAGATGAAGAGTCAAGTCACACGCACTGAGTTAATAATAATACTAACAGATAACATTTACAGACCTCTTCGTGCCAGGCACCAGTCCCTCCCCTAACATGCACCATCACAGCTTATCTCCATGACTGGCCAAGTAAGGGAGTACTGTCATTATCCCCATTTTATAGACTGAAAACCAGAGAGGAGGCTCAGAGAGGCAAAGTCACTTGCCCAAGGTCACACAGAGGCCAAGCAGAGGTTAGGATTCAGGATGATCTGCCATTAAAAAGTCCATGCTCTCCCTGCCACATGATCCTGAGTGAGTCAGCAAGTGAATGAATAAATGAATGAATAAGCGAGTGAATAAACAGAGAAGCAACTGTAATGTAGTGGAAACGGTGCAGGTTCTAACTTCATAACTCCAGTTGTGCTTCTGCCACTGACCAAACAAGTGACCTGTGCAAGTCTCCTACCTCGGGGTCTGCCTCATTTCCCTGTCTAAACAGGAAGCGGGCTGGTCCACACTACACCATCTCTATGGCCTCTTGGGGGTGCTAACAGGCTGTGACTCCAGGGCAACCACAACAAGGAAGATGACCTGCTCTACCCACTCAGCTCTCCCTCTTCATCTCCAGGGGGGTGGGGGGTGCCTCAGTCGGTGCCTAAGTCCCAGGTGAATGAGGTAGCCCATATGGCTGTGGGCCCCCTTCTCAGATACCCACTGGCCCTGCAGTCTGTGCTTTGCCTCACAAATCCCCTTCTTCAGGATTTTTTCATCAAGGAGGCCAGGAGGAGCAGTGGGAAACCCTCTTTGCCCCACCAATCCCCTCCAGGGCCACCACTAAGGAAACCAGCCGGAAGACCAAAGCTTCGAGCCCCCAAATGTCCACTGGCATTTTTTCATGACATCAAAACTAATGGCTGCACGCAAAGCATGTGGCCAAAGATGGGACAAGTGGAAGTCAGGACCCAGCCACTCCATGCAGTTGCAGAGGAAACATCTTATGATGAATGTTGTGATGTGTGTGATGGGTCGCTCAGTCACGTCCGACTCTTTGTGACCCCATGGACTGTAGCCCGCCAGGCTCCCCTGTGCATGGAATTCTCCAGGCAAGAATACTGGAGTGGGTAGCCTTTCCCTTCTCCAGGGGATCTTCCCAAACCAGGGATTGAACCCAGGTCTCCTGCACTGCAGGCAGATCCTTTACCATCTAGCCACCAGGGAAGCGATGAATGTTACGTGAGGGAAAAAAGAATAATAAATCATATCCTCTGGCATCATAACTTCATAAAGCAAATAATAACAACCAGTATTATCCACTCACAAGGCAACGGCCAAGCAATGTTCTAAGCATTTTACACATGTGAACCCCGGTTAGTGCCATATAAGGTTGACACTAATATCATGGTCAGGTGAGGAGACTGAGGCCCACAGTCCAGCCAAAGAGGTAGAGCTGAGAGGTGAGTCCCTGCAGGCTGGGCCCACACCCCCATCCACTACTTGACCTCCAAACTGTACACCTGGATTATTGGTTTCCTGTGTCCTCATAAGGGTAATTTTTCCCTCTATTTTTTCTAACTTTCCTGTATGGGGGGGGCTATTACTTTATAAACTTTAAAGAAAGTTTTCTTGAAAGAATAAAAAATGTGACAGTGGACTGAACATCATGACCCCTTGATTCCAGCTCCAGGGCTACAACTACTTTGCTGTGAGGCCTTGGACAAGTCACTCTACATCTATGGGTTTCAGTTTCCCTTCTTCTAAAATGGGAGATCTGGACCAAATCATCTATAAAATTCCATCCAACTTCAGCCGTCCGTTACCAGATCAAACACTCCCTATAGTCTTGCGCAAATGACGGGCAGAACAATGTTCACTCTCCCCATTTTACAGGTGGGGAAGCTGAGGCTCAATGACCTGAAGTTCTAGTTTAAACCTCACCTCCTCCGTGAAGCCACTGCTGACTACCTCCCTCCCCAGGTCAGGTCCTCACATTTATGCTCTCGTTGCACCCCTATATTTTTCCATCCTAGCACTTCTATTTTATTTTTGTCAAAAGTTAAATAAGAGCTCTGTGGCCAAAAACATTTGGGAAATGTTGGATTAGACAACGTTGAATCTCCTCAAGATTTCTCAATGCCTGTACTAGTGCCAATGTACTCTGATCGCCAAGAGAACTCGGTCAGTCTGTAGCCTACCCCAAGCTTATCTGGTCCTGGAATCACTTAAAAGATATTTTAACTATGAGGTATTTCAAATACACAGAAAAATACAGAGCTCAATCTTATCACCATTTTAATTATTTATACACTACCTTGCTGGACATTGTCTCCCCTCTGGACCATACAGTTCCAGCCAGGCCTGTTCACTGCTGGGGTCATCACTGAATACTCAGTACCTCATGCCCTGCCCAGAACATGGCAGGTCAGTGTAGATGTTGAAGTGAGTGAACAGAGGAAAGCTCGTATCCTCGGGTCTTGAGCTCTCACATAGGTTAGTGATGACTAATGTCATCTAAAGAATGTTGATTGTTAAAATGTATTTTCCTTCAAAGTCACCCCAGGAACCCCTAGGGAAACCCTCACCCATTCAAATCCATCAGCTCACCAGCCCCTTCTCCAAGCCTATGGCATCTTAATATTCTGCCTTCCTGACCCCTCTCCAGGAGAAAAAAGAGGCAACACAGAGGTGCATGGATGTGCTGAGGAATGGTCTCCAAGAATTGGTAAAGCTTAACGTCTTAATGGACCTCTGTGTCCAAGGGGCCATTCTGTCTCCCAGTCACGTTGCTGACTGGTGACAAGTATTAAGGCTGTCCTGCTGTTGGTAGTGACAATTTTGAGCACATTTTACGCCCCTAGGGCTTTACAACAGAATTCCCACTTTCCTACCAAGACGTGGCATCTGCGACTCGCTCCTTCCCTCGTCTCCCTTCTGCACTACCACATTCAGGGCTTCCCTAATAGCTTAGACAGTAAAGCATCCGCCTGCAATGCAGGAGACCAAGGTTCAATCCCTGGGTGGGGAAGATTCCCTGGAGGAGGAAATGGCAACCTGCTCCAGTATTTTTGCCTGGAGAATTCCATGGACAGAGTTGGACACGACTGAGTGACTAACACACACACTGCTGCATTTAGCAACTAGATCCAAGGGGAGGGAGTGCTGAGAATCTCAATCCCTACACTATGCTATACTAGAAAAGCTCTGCAATCAGACCAATCCTGGTTTGACTCCTCTCATCACTTATTAGCTGTGAGACTCAGTGCAAGGATTTTAGCCTCTCTGAACCTCAGTTTTCTCATCTGCAAAATGAAGATAATTAAACTTTTAAATGTGTGCAAAAGGGAATGGTAGACGGAACCCTGCTAGGTAAATGTGTATGAAATATAGTATGCATTGAGTCCCTAATATATACTTTACAAATTACCCACCATGTCATCTTATTTACTCCTTGCAACCACCTAGTGAAGCATTGTTATCATCCTCATTTTATAGCTGAAGCTCAGAGAGGTAAGTCACTTGCGCATGACCATTCAGGGAGTCAATGGGAGGGCTGAGTCTGGACCTCATATCAGCTTCAAATTCTGGCAGGGATACTGCACCGCAGGGCTGCCATGTTGATGGTGCTTATGTATTACAGATTCAGTAACAGCCCAGAACCCCTAGATACACACAGAAACACACACACACACCCTACATCATCTACTGGGAACACAGCCTTAACCTCAACCTGCCCCACCATGCAGACCACAACCTGCAGGGGGCACCCAAGGCCTAGCACCATTAAGCTGGCGTAGCCAGTGATGAGAAACCATTTCATGGGCACCTACTTTGTAGCAGCAGGCACCATGCTGGAGCCTTCCCATTCATTGTCTCAATCCTCAGGAATTCTCAAGGTGCAAACTATTATTATCTCTGCTTCAAAGGCAAGGAATCGGGCTCTGAGAGAAGTTAAAGTGTCCAAATCACATTGCTGATACGTCAGAAAGGTGTTACCTTTCAAAGCCACACTGGCTGCTTCGCCCCAAACTGCCCCCAGCTGGCCCATCAGTAGTCAGAACACTTGGGAGAGGGCCCCACCCTGCCAATACTGGTTCCTGTATCCTCAAGTAAATCACTTCATCTCACTAGTTCTTAAGCTTCTCATCTGCAGAATGAGCAGGAAAATATCAAGGTAAGGGCGATAGATGAGTGACTGGAAAGACAATGCTTCGCAAACTGCTGCATAAGCATGACCCAGTATGCCATTAGGGAATATTAAGGATTTGTACAGGAGACTGGGAGAAAGGGAAGGAGGGAGAAGAATGGTCCAATGTGCCCTTCAGGTACTACTGTCCACCCCAGCGATGTTCAGGCTCTAAACGATACTCAGAGGCAGTCTCTGCTGGATTGGCTTAGAAGAGAAGGAGCAATGCCCACTGATCAGATGGGCCTGGATTTGGATCCAGCTCTGCTACTTACCAGCAAAGTGTGGCCTGGGCAAGTGAAAATCATTTGGGCCTCAATGTTCTCATCTGTACAGTGGAGGAGAAGGGATCATGATGCCTGATAGTGAGCACCTGATGAGTAAATGTCACGAGCCTTTTAACACATAGTAGACACAGGAGACCACTCAAGCATATATTGATTAGTAGACATACCATAACTGCCAGTGGTCCTCTCTCTCTCAACTCGACCCATGTCCTGGCTCTTACCAGTCCCCATGTGAAGAGGGCATGCAGGTGCTAACAGCCCTAGCTCAGGAGTCTAGGGGAGGAGGAGCAAGCCTAGACCCAGGTCACCCAGGTGAACCTTTCCTTACACACAGGGCAGATAACTGGTCTCTCCCCTGGTCTTCCACAGAATCCCTCCCCTCCCAATTGATCACACTATGGGGAAACTGATCGTGGGTCAGTCTTTATGCCTAATAGCTGAAATTCTTCAGGGCCAGGGCTGTGGCTCATCCATCTCTGGGTCCCCAGGGCCTGATGTCAATAGGTATTTGGTCAGATGAGCAGTAACTATAATGGAAATGCAGTGCACTCCTCAATCAAGCCACCTGCCTTACTAAGGCCAAGAGAGACTGGCTCCTCCACATTCAGACTCAACTACAGGTGCTTACTCTTTATTTCATTTAATCTGGATTAAGTGTGGAGGTGTGTGCGCCCTAACGGTGCCCATTTTACAGATGAGAAAGCTATGGCTCAGAGAGATAATTAGTTTGTCCAAGACACACAGCCAGTTGAGTAGAGGGGCAGAAGAGAACCAGCTCTGCCTGACTTCAAGTCCCTGTTCCTGTCCCTGCCTGCTCCAAGGGCTTGATTCACGGATCCTTTCGATGGAAAGGTGGGATTCACCAATTCACCATAAGGGCATCTTAGAAAGGAAGGACTACTAACCAGAGAGAAGGTGGCGACTGCAGATCCTCAGTCCAAATTTCCCCAGGGCTGAAGAACAGAGCGGGCACCAAGGAGGGCCCTCTGATCTAACCCCCAAAAGGAAAAGTCCGAGGGAAATGGACCAGCGGGACCCGAGACCCCAACGGGCCGTGGCAGGGTCCCAGCCTCTTCTCCAGCCCGGGCCAGAGAAACCCTTGGGCAACGCGGACCCAAACGCAACCGCGGGGCTCGCGGAGCTCTGGAGGGAGGGGGAGAGGGGCGGGCCCAAGAGGCGCAACGGCGTCCCATTGGCGGGCCCTCAGGTCCCTCCGCTACGTCACCGAACCGGCGAGACCAAGCTGCCCCAGACCCCACTCGTGGTGCGCCGCGCTGGGCGCCCGGATTCCACGGTCTCCGGAGACCTGTGGATCCTCACCGGCGTCACAGTCCCCTCCTGCCACCTCTGTCACCCCTCCAAATTTTTTTTTTTCAAAGTCCTAACAGACTCGCGGGAAAACTTAGGGTGGCTTCACCGCCTTCAGGGTCGTCATCACCCCTCACCTACCGGTGTTGCCACCCACCAAGGGGCCCTCCGTCCTCAAAGACTTGGGGGCTGGAAGTTGGGTCGGACTGGCCTGCACTCAAATCCCAGCACCACTCCTTCTATTGTGAGACCACAGTCAGATCACGTCTTCTCTCGATTTTCCTACCTCAAAATATACATTGTTATCCCCACAACCACGTGGTCTGAGGAATAAACTGGTTAAACTGGCTATAAAGGGAGATATTCTCCCACCTTATTATACAGATGGGGAAATTGAATTCTAGCCACCAGAATAATCGTTTTTACTATTAACTATTTATAATATGTTAACTGATGAATCAAGTTAATGTTACGCTCAACCCACCATCCACTGAGTGGTTAAGTGCCAGCTACCCTGATGGGCACTTGGCATTATCTCAATAGCTCCTGTAGTGTAGATAATTTTTGTGCCCATTTCATATATAAGGAAACTGAGGCTCAGAGGGGTGAAGTGATTTAAGGCCCCGGATCACAGAAATGAGTAAGAGGAGGAGCTGAAGATTTAAGAACTGGTAATCCAGGACACTGTCACGAATTTGGGTCACCCTGGACTCCCCAAAGGAGATTCTTAACATCTCTGAGGGGATGGACGGACCCTTAGGAAATCTGGTAAAAGCTCTGGATCCACTCTATCAAGAGCACACACTCACATACAAGAGCAATGCTGCACAGTTTCAGAGGTACCCATCTACTTCCACCCAGGGGATCTGCCCTAATCCCTCTCCCTTACCAAACCTTGCTTCTAGGAGAGTCTAAGATACAACAAAGAAACAGAAGGAAAATCCAGAGACAGAAAGAAAGAGAAACTAGAGAGCAAGCAAGGAGCAAGCAGCAGAAGGAGCAAACGGCTAACAGCAGTTGCCTTGGACGGGCATCGCGGTATAAGGGGCCAGGGTGGGGAGGGGAGCTCTGGATTTATCTGAAATGCTTGAACCTTTTACAACATGAACATATTTGTGTGTCACTTGAGTAATAAATAGCAACTAAGAATTGCTTACAAGAAAGAAAAGAGACTGTGCAGACAAAGGACAGCGGGACACACAGACACAAAACAGAAACGGAAGGAGAGAGAAGACCTCAGAGTTGCGGGGGCGGGGGTGGGGGTGTGGGGAAGTGTGAAATACAGCCAGAGATAGACTGAAAGATGGAGAAAAAGAACAGGGAAAGACAAACAGATAGGCAGACATAGAACGGAAGGTCCTTCCGCAGCCCACAGCCGCTGTGGGGTTCCACCTCACAGGTTCCTCAGGTCCTGACGCCACCGAGGCCCCCACCCTTAGCCCCGGCCCGGCTGACCTGCAGAACCCGCTTGGTGAGGCCTGTCTTTTGCGCGAGCTGCTTCAAGTCCTTGGCGTCGGGGTTGTGGTTAATGGCAAAGTAAGACTTCATGGTCCGAAGCTGGTGGTGCTTGAAGGAGGTGCGCATGCGCTTCGTCTTCTGGCTGCTCGGGTACGGCTGGTCTCGGTCCAGGTGCTCCGCGTCGTTCTCGTTACAGCTCAGGGCTGGGGCGGGAAAGCAGAGGCCGAAGGTGAACCTCCTGGCCCGCCCTCCACCCCCACTACACTGAAAGTCCACACCCACCCCACACTCCGCCAAACGTTTCTAGCCTCAGGACCACTCTGCGGGTGCCGCACCCCGCTGAGATGGAGATATTATCCCATTTTATAGATTTATAGGGGAATTTGAGGTCGAGCCATTTACCCCGGGTCTCTCAGCTAGGAAGTGCTGGATTCAAACCCAGCTCTAGGAGACTCCAAAAAACATTCTGAGCCATCCTGTTACAATAAAAATAGTAATGACAACAACTTGTCAATGACATTCAACTCCACAAGATGTGTTAATGGGCTTTACATGCACATTTTCATCTCAAAACAACCTTTTGAGCCAGGCATTATTTCCTCCCTTTTTACAGATGTTGAAACTGAGGCTCCTAAAGGGAAATCATTCGACCTCGGACACAGCAGGCCCATTATCTTCCCACTTCTCCCCGAACTCCTAAGGAGAAATGCAGTCTGCAGTCTTCCCCACCCCTCACCCCCACCCAGTGTCAGGGGCAGGCACCTAGAAGTCATAGACTTCCACTCACGTTCCAAACCCTCCACTCACTTTCATCTCTCCATTCCCACACCCAAAGTACTGCAGGACCCCTTAGCCCTGGGCCGGAGGCGCTGGGCTGCAGGTTGGAAACTAGTTTGTAGCTTCATCCTCACCACTGCCCTGTGAGACAGCGGCTTCCCAGTTTTACAAACGAGATGAATGAGGCAGAGAGGTTAAGCAATCTTTGGAAATTTCGAAGAGCGGCACAGTACTTAGCCAGAAAGGGAAGGAAGTTGGAGGAAGAAATTAACGTGTATTCTACACCCAGTGTAAGCTATTGGCCCTACATACATGGGGAGGAGGGAAGGGCTTCACTACTGCTCCAGGAGGTGACTATTGCTATTCACCTCATTTTAAAGATGAGGAAACTAACACGAAGGGAAATGAAGTCACACCATTGGTTAAGGCTGAGCCCAAATTCAACACTGCAGTTCTCGCCTCCTTGGTGTTTCTTTCCCCTACACCACAAAGGCTGGCAGAGATGAAGCACGACTCTTTGGGGAGCGTGTCCCTATCCAGAAGGGGCCCAGCTGGGGCTGCCAATGCCTGCAAGGCACTGGGGGTGGGGGACAGGGATGGAAACCTCGGGCCTCAGAAAGTTGCTTAGCAACCTGGTGGGGACATGCAGGACCCCTCTCCAAGATCCCCTCAATACATCCTGAGCCATTCCACATATAAGATCTTACTTTGGGGAGTGTCTCATAGGAGATTAATTCAGTCCCCCCTAAAGTGGGCAGCTGGGAATATATCTCCTGTTTCATCACATGCCCATAATAGAGCCGCAGATTTAGCAAATAAAAATACAGGTTGTCTAGTTAAATTTGAATTGCACATAAACAATGAACAGTTTCTTAGAATGATATCTGAAATACTGCATGGGACATACCTATACTGAAAACTAATCTGTTGTTTGCCAAAAACTCAAATATTGCACTGTATACACATACTAAAAAAATTATTCATTGAATTAAAATTCAAACATCATATGGGATACACTTACACTAAAAAAAATGTATTTTTCCTTTAAAATTCAAATGTTGTATGGGATACACTTACACTAAAAAAAATTATTTATCGCTTACCCAAAATTCAAATTTAACTGGGAGTCCTGCATTTAATCTGGCAATACTGCCTCAGAAGCACTCCTGCTCCCCTGGTGGCCTACTCCTCCCCTGCCCAACTGAGGAGTGAGTAATCCCTTGCAGAAAAAGTGTGCAAGATGCAGGTCTTACCCCTAACCTTGAAGTTGTCAGCAAGTGGCCACACCTTCTAAAGGCCCCTTCCCACAGGCAACCAGGCACCCAAGTTCTCCAGCTGGGCTTTACTCTCACTGAGAGCACCCAGAGTAAAGAATGGGGATCCAGCAATTTAAAGGGGAGCAGAGAATGACTCCAAACGGGATCCATGGAAACTGCCCTGTCCCCTGCTGTGGGGAGAGACCCTCTTCTCGCCCCTAGCCCCCAGCCCAAAGGGGGTGATGGGGTTGGAGGGGTAGGGCAGGCCTCCCCACAGGGGATCTCTGGGCCCATTCCTCCGCCCAGCCCCCGCCTGGGCCTTGCTGCTGTTAATGAGCTCCATGGGGACCCTGGTGCCCCACGCACCCAAGGGACTTGCCCTGAGCTCGGCCTAGATGGGGGGGCAGGGATGGTGGTTGGGGGAGGGAGAAGGAAAGGGCAGAGAAAGGAGAAAAAGAGACAGGTGTAGAAAAAAGAGAGAATGGAGAGAAGGGGGGGGGGGACGGGGGAAGAAGGACAGAGCCAGGAAAAAAGAGAGGGGAGGCAGAGAAAAAGAAAGCAGTGGATATGGAAGAACCAGAGAGAGACAGTTACAAAGACAGAAAAAAATCAGGAGAGACACAGAGAGAGCCAGAGGGGTCACCAAGGCCCAGCAACAGTAGGGATGCGGTGTGGTGAAGGGTCCAGGTTAAGGAACTGAATCCCCGGCCTTGGGCAGGCCGGGTCCCTTTGGCGTGGCTTTTTCAAAGCCGTTACAGGCCGGGTAGGGATGAAAAGGGGAAGGAGGGGAGGGCAGAAAAGAATTCGGCCCAAGGTAGGGAGGCCCAGGCAGGCCAGCAGCAGGGGCAGGAGACCGCACTAGCGGCAAAGGAGCGGCTATTGGGCCCAGATTCGGTTGCTGCCCCAGGTCCCCTCACTCTGGCTCCCAGCTTCCAGCCGGGTGGAGATTCCCCAGGATCGGATCCGGGACGAAGGAAGGGGGAGGACCAAGCTTTCTCTCTCCTTTTTTTTTTTTTTTCCTCTCAATTAGGCCGATTCAATGGAGCTAAAGAGCTCGTAAAATCATGAATAATTTACTCGTGATCTGTTATTAACCCATCGGGTTTCGAGCTCTTGTCGCTGGGACTGAACCTGTAATCAAATCTGACTTCGCCTCATTTTACTAAAGACGAGATTGTAGGTTCAATTGTCTAAATAATGGATTGGAATCAAATCAGTAATTACGCCGCCAGGCGCGCGCGCGCATACACACACACACACACACACACACACACACAAAGCTGGGGCTGGGGGAGAACTGGGCATCCGGCCGGTCCACGCGGGACTCCCGTGGTCGCGGCGCGCAAACTCGGACGCAAAGCGCAGGGCCCGGGCCCCTGACCGGCTCCGGTCGCCTTGCCGCGCCCGGGGCCGGGGTGGGTAAGTTTCAGTTCCGCCTCTGGGACCTAAGCTGCGATCTCCAACCAGCGGGGCTGCCAGAGGACGGCCAGCAGCGGCGGCCACCGCCCCGGAAGGACTTTCCGACCCTGCGGGCCCCGCCGCTCGAACTGTCCTTGCCTAAGCGAGGGCCGGGCGCACCGACGGCGCCCCCTCCCAACTCTGCTGGAGCTCACTGCCCGGTAGTAAGGTGCCGCCGCTCCTCCACCGACTGTCCCCGACAGCGATGAGCTTGTAGGGGGTCGGTGTGGCTGGGCCCCTGGGTGTGGGACATTCACGCCAACAAGCGCGAGTCCTCACAATCGGAATCACGCACGCGCGCGCACACACACACACACACACACACACACACACACACTTGCCCGGACATACCACTGAAATCACAAGCTCCACGGGGCCCTCTTTCCAGTCCCAACTGCCCGCGGCCCACACTGTGGCCCTTTCTCTTCAGCGGGTGCAGGGAGGGGAGTGGGAGGCCTTGTCGGGGAGGCCCCCCTCTTCTCAATCTAGTCCCGGGAGCCCGGAGTAAGCAATCCGCACAGCCACGAGCGGCGCGCCTTGCTCGGGTTCCACCAGCTTAGAAAGCCCGGGCCAAGGCCAGAGACGCCAACACCGAGATGGAGAAAGAGACAGGAACTGAGAAACCCCGAGACACACGCAGAGAGAGAAAGGGGGGCCTAGAGACACGAAAGAAAAAAAAGAAAGGGACCAAAGAGAAAAGGAGGAGAAAGCATGCGTGGGGCAGACTTGTAGAGGTGCCAGCTTCTCTGAAACTCAGCCTTCAGCCACATCTTGCTCTGAGTGGCGCGGCCTCCTCAGAGAAGGTGGAGAAGCAGCAAAAAGCACAAATAAATCGCTGTACCGTCTACCTTTCCGTTGCAAACCTGTCTGCCCAGGGAAAACATCATCCCGCTGCTCCCCACCCATCACGAGTCCTGTGGCCCAGCCTGCCTGCTGCTTTCTACTGGAGGCCAACCGCACTTGATCAATAGACCCGCTTTGTTTTGGGGAACCTGATCTGGACTCAGGGTAGTCTGTTCAGGGTTGGGGGTGACCAAGGGATGCAAATTTTGGAGAGCCGCATCTCGTACAGAGCTTTTAACAAATCTTAAATCTGCCTTGCAGACCTCGCTGCAGCCACCTCACCATTTACCAGACTGGGGGCTGTATTTTCCTCCCAGCTCCACACACCAAGACACATATGTCCCATGATCACCCAACAAACAACTTCGTTGGAGCGAATAGGGGACCCCCACTGGCCTATCATTCTCCACTCCCTGCCCATGCCAGCTCAGATTTTTAAAGATGAAAATAATCCTGACTTCTTCCCCACCACAGCCCTCTCCGCACAGTTCAGAGGTTTGGTTTTGTTTTGTTTTCACTTGTGCATTAGACTAAGGCGAAAAGGAGGAAGAAAACAAAGTCTCTGAACCCGATTCTGTCACAAACGAAAGAAAGAAAGTAATTGCAAATAAACTCTATCAAGTTCAGAAGCCCAGGGAGTCATAAACCTTTCCCGGCCGTGCAGACTTCGGGCAGATGTTGACGGGCCTCAGAACCGCTGCAGCTGTCCTGAGCTGGGAGGGACGCGGGAGGGGGCAGAGCCTCTCCCAGAACGACCCAGGGTTCAAAGACGCCGGAAATGCGAAACAAGCCCTCCACCCCAACCCGGCGCAAAGCCAGGCCTTCCCGGCCTCATCCCGAGGCGCCGGCTTTGGAGGGTCGCAGCTCTTATCTCGGCGCCCCGCTGTCACCCGGGACTCAGAAGAACCCGGGGGGCGGGGGGTGGGAACCGAGACCTGGTGGAGCTGGAGGATCGGGCAGGACGCTACAACTCGCTTTTGCTCAAAAGGCTCCTGGGCCCAAGTTTCCCGACCCTGCCGCCCACAACACACTTTACATGACCTGGCCGCAGGCCAGGCCAAGCTCGGTGGCCCCTGGCCACCGCCAGTCCTTTCTCTTGGGACCCCCGCCGCTCGGCCTCGCTCATCCATCGCCCCAGATCCTCTCCCTCAGCCACACCAACCTACAGCCTGTTTGGTGTCGGCTCTGCCATGCTTTCTTGATACTTGCACTTTCTGCTCAGCCAAATGGGTAAAAGGCCCAAGACAAAAACCCTCTAAAAGATTTCTCTGCTTCAAGGTACTGAACCGAGAGCATCAAGACCACTCCAGCCAAGGGCGCACAGGCTGGAGCCCAGGGAGCTAATGTCGCTCCTGCCAGGTCATCTGGTGGGCCTGGGGAAGCTAAAGCCTGGAGTACCCACAGTGACGCAAGTAAACAGGTACAGCACACTGAAATTCACTTCGTTCTCAGCCTCTGACGCCATGCACCTTCCCTCAACCCGTCGGGGCGCTCGAGGCTCCTCACACTCACCAGCGTTGTAGGCAGCCAGATCCGCCCCAGGCCCAGGGCTCTTGCGCTTCCTCGGCCGCCCCTTCTGCACTGTGCCCACGCCATTGTAGTAGGGAAGACCCAGAGGGTTGGCCCCGGCTGCACCCAGCCCGGCGCTCTTGGCCGCCGCGGCTGCCGCCGCTGCAGCCGCCACGTCGGCGTGGTTGAAGTGCGCGGGGTACTCGCCCTGCAGCAGTGCCTCGAAGTGCTGAACTTGGCCCAGGCGTTCTGAAACCAGACCTGCAGAACCCGCTTGGTGAGGCCTGTCTTTTGCGCGAGCTGCTTCAAGTCCTTGGCATCGGGGTTGTGGTTAATGGCAAAGTAAGACTTCATGGTCCGAAGCTGGTGGTGCTTGAAGGAGGTGCGCATGCACTTCGTCTTCTGGCTGCTCGGGTATGGCTGGTCTCGGTCCAGGTGCTCCGCGTTGTTCTCGTTACAGCTCAGGGCAGCGTTGCAGGCAGCCAGATCCGCCCCAGGCCCAGGGCTCTTGCGCTTCCTCGGCCGCCCCTTCTGCACTGTGCCCATGCCATTGTAGTAGGGAAGACCCAGAGGGTTGGCCCCGGCTGCACCCAGCCCGGCGCTCTTGGCCGCTGCGGCTGCCGCCACTGCAGCCGCCACGTCGGCGTGGTTGAAGTGCGCGGGGTACTCGCCCTGCAGCAGTGCCTTGAAGTGCAAGCGGCAGTAGACCAGGCTGTCCTTCATGCCGAAGTGGTCACCCGTGGTCAGCATCTTGTTACACGTGGTGCACGTGAAGCAGTTGAGGTGATAAACCAAGTCCCGAGCTCGCATCACCATCTCCGAGGCCGAGATGCCCAGGTGGCAGCGGGCGCAGCGCTGCACAGAGAACCGCCTGCAGGGACCATCGAGGGAGGGACTGTGGGGACACACGGTTGGGTACTCCCCATACCCCTCCTCCAGGTACCGCTGCTACCACTGGCGGAAATCCACTCAAGATGGGCAACTGGGTCTTAACTTGGAGGATGGGGGAAGAGGGAACTAGATTTTGGCCCAGATCTGGTCCTACCCTGAAACATAGTTTCCCTTAACCATTTTCGTGTCTACAAAGGCTTTACTTTACCCAGAGTCTGAGCAAGCCCTAGGAAAGCCTTGCTCGGGAGTAAAGGAAACTTCCCATTCATCCCTCCCTCAATCTCTACCCCTGCCCTCCACACCAGTGCCTGGGCATCCTACAGACCTTTGTAATTCCTAAGAAACAGAGACAGGGAGAAAGAGACAGAGGCAGTGGAAGGGGGGTGGGGTTGAAATAAGCAGACCTAACCCTAAACCAGGAGGGGAGAACCTAGGAGCCTGGAGCCTGCCTGTTGGTGATTCCAGTTCTTCAATCCTGACCAGCTTTCACTCCCATCTCCAGGAAAGACCCGGAAATGCACCCAATCTGATCCCCGGCTCTCCTTCCAACTTTGTTCCACACCAGTCCTGACTGCCTGGGTCTGGGGGTCCCTGTTTCAGTTCCCTCCAGTTGACCCAAGAAACTTCAAAGGGAGAAGGGTACCCAATTCAAGCTTACTTTTGGTCTAAGCTAAAAAGAGGGCAGCTTCTGCTTTTCTCTGGGTCCCCACCAACACTTCACAGATCTTTCCAAGAGTTCCCTCAGACTGTTGCTTAAAAAGATGTCACCCAATTTGTACTGGCTTGGAGAAGGGGGGAACCTACATAGGGAACCCTCCCTTGGGACAAGATTGCATCTGAGACCAGGGGTCCTGGGTGCCCCGAGGCAGTGGGTCCCGAGGTGGGGGCTACCTGTAGTAGTCTTCCTTGCAGTAGATGCTTCCATCCTTGCTGAAACAGGTGAGCTCCGACTCCAGGTTGAGCTTGCACTCACAGCACTTGAGGCAGCGCATGTGCCACTGCTTGTCCACCGCCAGCAGGTAGTAGCGGTCGGAGATCTTGCCCCCGCAGCCGGCGCACAGCGCAGCGCGGTCACTGCTGATGGACGGCATGGTCTGCGGAGGGAGGGAGACGCAAGACCGCAGCGCCTGCGTCAGCCTGCGACCCCACCACCGCCGCGCCGCGGGGAAACAGGCACGCACCCGCAACTCCCTCGGTGGCTCAAGCTAGCCCTAAACGCAGCGGGGTGGCTGCTAGGGTGTGTGGTTCGCTTCCTCCACGCCAAAAGGCCCATATCCAAGGGGCTCAGAACCCAGGTCCGCCTGTGCAGCCCAAGTCGGTCGCAGGCCCAGGACCGGCTGCTGGCCTGGACAGACCTTCCTCCTTACTTCCCCCCCTTCCTGTCCCCTCTGCTCTTTTCCCGAAGGGCTCAAGCTTCGTTGGGGGACTGGATGGCTACTTCAGCCAAGCCCTCCAAAAGCTCTCCCCAAACTGTTTCTTAAAGAAGCCACTCTGCTGGGCCCCAAGAAAAGGAATAAGATGACCATTATAAAAGTCACCCTCCACACAGACTCCTCTCCAGAGACTCGGTGGAGTTCTTGGCCCCTAACCCCAGTGATCTCTGGATTCTTAAACCGGAGGTTTAGGCCAGGGCAAATAGCGCGCGGCTACCACTTCTGCCACATTGGCTGGGGCCCTCTTAGGTCCTGAGAGATGGTGAGTGGGGTGCATGGGCACCCTCAAAGTCTCCCAATGCAGGACAGGCCCAATCCAAATCCTCTCCTAACCAAACTGACAGGCTGAGTGGGTACAACTCCGGAAGAAGAGCTTGAAAGCAGAGGCACTGGGGCTTCTCTTCTCGCACTCCAAGCAGAGAAGATTCGCCGCTGCTCCCCACCTCCTTAGCCTCTAAAGGTCACTGCGGGGCCTGGCTTGGGCAGTGTCTGTTTGTCTGGCCCCCAGGGAGGTCTGAGGCAAGAACTGGCTATTTGGGGCTGAGCTGGTGGAGCCAGGTGTGGAGATCAGAATGGACTCTCCTTCCACAAGAACCAGGCCAGAGCCTGAACAGCCAGCCCTAACCGGTCCGAGGGGGGCCAGCCAGGAGGCCCGAGATGCGAACAACGAAGAGCGCTGGCCTGGAAGACTTCGACCCCTGAAATTGCGCTGGGATAGGAACCCCGATTGCCAGGAGGCGGAAATTAGCTCCAGTCGGCTGGAGACCCCGGTGCTGCGGGGTTGGTTCGTCCTTCCCCGCGCCGAAGGCGGCCAGAGCGGAGGGTTGGAGGAGAGCGCGGGGTTGGCGACCAAAGAGCCCCTTGAAGTGAAAAGAGAGCCATCGGGCCGCGGGTAGGACTTCGCTCCCACTTCGGGAGAAATGCTCTCTTCCACCTTTAGGGTGTGAAATTTCGGTCTCAACCTTGTTTCCCTCCTCCGCCCCAGCAGCCGGGTTTCCCGTGAGCCGGGAGCTACGGGCCTTGCATCCTGTCCGCAGATTCCCAGCGTCCAGTCCCGCGCGGCACGAAGAACACTCCCCAAAGTGCCCCCAAACTTAGGAGAGCAAAGGCGCAGACCGATCCGGCCGCGTCCCAGCGTCTGGCCCGGACCCCGCAGCCGTGCGCCTACCGTCTCCGTGTCGCCGCGGTCGATGGCGGAGCTGATGGCGGGAGCCTCGCTCTTGGCCCTGCGGACCATCTCGTCGATGACCCCGTGCACCTCGGGGCCCGACAGGCTGTGGAACAGCATCGCGGCGGGACCGGCGGGGCCGGGGGCGCGGCTCCTCCGCGGGAGGGCTTGCCCCCCGCCTCAGCTGCCTGGCGCTCCCCGCGCTAACGGGCCCGGTGCATCGCCACCGCGGCCCCGGCCCCGCCCGAGCTCGGCTGTGCCCCCAGGCCGGGCTCTGGGCCCCGGGCGCCCGCGGGCCAGGACGCCTCCCGCCGAGGCGCGGGGGCAACTACATCGCGGGGCGCCTGGGCGGCGGCGCCAAAGCCAGGGTCACAAGGGCACGGGGCGGGTCGGGGGGGGGGTAGACCGGGGCAGAGGTCGGCGCCCGCCGCGGGCGCTTTCACGCCGCGGGCATCGCCCGCCCGGCTTCGGCGCCCCGGGCGCAAAGCAGGAGCGCAAACTCTGCCCGAGGCGGCGACGGCTGCGGTCGGGGCTCACTGGGGAGCAACTAGGTGCCCGCGGCGGCCCAGCTGCCTGGACCTCTCCCCTCCCCGGGGTGTGCCCCCAGCCCAAGGCGACCCGCTTAGGCGCTGGGTCGGCTACGGGAGTAAGGGTTTCTCCGGAGCCAGCGAGCCGAGCGGAGACACCGGGAGAATTGAAGAGGAGGAGGAGGAAGAGGAGGAGGCGGAGGTGGAGGAGGAGGAGAGAAAGGAGGAGGAGCAGAGTGGGAGGAGGAGCCGCCGGCCGCGGGCCCCGCCGCGCGCAACGCTCTCCAAGAGCGCGCCGAGCCCAGCCCCGGCTCTGCAGTCCGCGCCAGCCAAGCGTCCGCGCCTTTTCTACAGCCGCGCCTGACATCACGTCCTGCCGCCGCGCCATTGGCCGCCCGGCACCCCGGGCCCCGGCAGCGCGTGCTCCGGGAAGGCGGGAGACCCGAGAGGGAGGGGAACCGCAAGAGGAGGAGAGGAGCGACGAGATGGTGGGAGCTGGTGGGCGAGGCTGGGGGGCGGGGGCGGGAGCCAGCGAGGGAGGAGGGGGAGCGCGGGGTTTGGAGTTTTAAGCTACAAACAGTTTGCTGCGATTTTCTTCGGGAAGGAAAACTAAACCTCTCCCCGCCGTCTCCATCCTAAGAAGGCGCAGCCGCCAGAAGATGCTTGAGGAAGGGCTCCCTCGGGTAATCCCTCGGCCCGGAGCCGCCCCTCGGGCACCGGCTGGGGAGGCCTGGGAAGGCCGGCCTGAAGCAGAGCTCGGGGAGCCTTCGGCCGCTTCCCGCCGAGTCCTGCCTTCCGCCCGGGCTTCGCGCCGCGGGGCTGCGGACTGCCGCGCAGGCCTCCCGCGGACCCGGCTGAGCCAGAGCGGCAGAAACCGGCGGGAGCTGTGGCTCCCGGGGAGGGCGGCCAGTTAGCTTACCCTGGCTCCAAGCGAGCTAGGGCGCAATTAATGGCCCGGCGTGTAGTTCCCAGTCTCTCTTCCTGTTCTCTCTCCAACCTGGAAGAGTGGGTGCCAGCGTGGCTTTACGAACTAGAAAGGCATGGGTTCTGATCCTAGTTCTGCCGCTGACTTGCAGTGTAACCTTCGGCAAGTGACTAAACTTCCCTACGCCCGTTTCTGATCTTTTAAGTGCGGGTCAAGAAAGCCCTCTCCACGTGGATGTGATGAGCGAAAGAGATCACGAATGTAAAATGCCTGGAACATAGTAGGCACTAAGGAAATTCTTTCATCCCTTCCTTTCCTCTCTTCTTCCCTTTAAAAACTTTCCCACTCTGAGCTACATTAGGCATCAGTGAGGTTCTTAAAAACCACAGGCCCATGGCGCTGTCCACTGGGTGCCTCATGCCACAGACCAGTTATTGAAGGGCATCCTTCCTGCAGCTTGGCTGCACCACTTCTCCAACAACCTGGCCTGCTGCAAGAGTCCCAACTACCACCCCAAGCCCCGGACTTCAAGCTCCCCCAAGAGACTCTTGGGAGTGACGGGATGGGTGATGAAGAGGGATTTAGGTAATAAAAAGCGATTGTAGGTAAAAACTGAATGAGCTACTTGGTTACAGAATCCCAGTCTCCTGGCTCTGCCTTGGAGGCGGTTCGTGTGCAGTGACTTGCTTGCCAACAGGAGGTAGGGGGCTAGCCAGGATCTGTGTAGTCTACCTTACAGAGCATAGAACTGAGGCTGTACAAAACATACTTTTTCACAAGTCTTACATAAATTTCAAACAACTCCATGTGAGCTTGTAATGCCCAAGCACAGACATGTTCATTTGTGCAAAATGCACATGTTCATCTTCGTTGGCAAACACTTCGAGTGTAAGTATACAATGCCAGGCAGGAGGATGCATCTATACACTGGAAAATTGCCGCTATAGGCACTCTCAGACAACTCTATGGAGATCCCTGCATAGGACTCTCTGAGGCCATGCTCTGCATATTTGCAAAACTCTCCAAGTTTCAAGAATGTGTGTACATGCTGCACATGCACAGATGCCCTCAAATGAGGAATGGACCATCAACGCAAAGCCGCGCGTGCGCAAGTGTTCACACAGACGTGCGTGTGCTCTAGCGCCTGCACAAGGCCAGCGCCCAGGCACACTGACGCCTGCACGCGTACACATAAGCATGTTTTACTGACGCATCTGGGGCACTTTCTTCAAAGAAAGGAGGGAATGAAAATCTCATCTGGGAGTCACCGGGGTTCATCGGGAGGTTGCCCAACGGGTAGGAAAAAAATTGTAACAACACTTTGAGCATTTGTCTGTGGTACAGCTCTGTGCCCAAGCTGGAAGGATGCAATACGTTTCCTAGAACTCGAGGGGCTGGATCCCTTCGGAGCTGCAGGGGGGGGGGGGGGGGAGGAACACTCGGTTACTCTTGCCGCGGGCTTCCCCAGAAAGGTGGAAACACACCCTGCGGCTCTTCACTTCCCCCGTGTCTGTACGCACACGCTTTCTTCGCCACCTCTCTGACCAGCACTCCACACCCACCGCCGATCGACCCCGAATTCCCTGGCGGTCAGGATTCCCGCCGGGTGCGCCCGCCTATGTATCCCTCCGTGTCTGGCTGGGACGCGCTCGGGTCGGCAAAGGGCTCAAACTTCATTTCCCGCCACGGGATCTGGGCGCCCCTCCCGCCCCCCTCCAGCCCTGAGTTCAGTGGCCGGTAACTTTGCTAATCTCCCCCAGCGGCGAGGGGGACGTCGCACAACCGCTGAGCTCTGTCCGCGGAGACTAAACAAGGAGAGGAACAGGCTGTAAACACACATCCTGACACGTGAGTGACATTTACACGGTGCAAGAAGCCGCCGCCACGAGGATGGCGGCGGGTGGGGGGAGCAGGCATCCGCAGGTAAATGGAACCTTCGGAAGCGCCGGAAACAGAGGCCCCTCGACGCCCCTCCCCCAGGTAGGGGAACGGACTCCCCAGGTCGCCTGAACCTGCCTTCTGTGGGAGGTGACAGGTGAACGGAATTCAGGTCTGGCTACTCTAGCCGCTGCCTACCTCCCCACCATCTGCTTCCTCGCAGACAGGCAGACCCGGCGCATAATGAGGTAGCAGCCTCCAGCCGGCCACCGTGACTAACTCAGAACAAAAGCGCTCCCTCCACGCCTCTTCCAACAAAGGGGCCACCAGCCCCGGCGCTCCCCGAAGGCTGCGGGGCTCCGGGCTGCCGGCTGCGGAGCTGCCGCTCGCAAACTTCCCGGGGCTGCCGGCGCCACGGAGCCGGGGCCGCGGAGGGAGGAAGCACATGCCGCCCAGAGAAAGTGAGGCCGGGCCTGGTGGGGGAAGAGGGGGCGGGAGCCGGGCAGCCGCGGAAGGAGGGTGATTGATCAGTGCGCCGTTCCCGGCGCTCTGTCCCGTTATTAGAGGCGGCCAAAGCAGGGCCACGCAATAACCTCCGAATCGCCAACTAATTGACGCTGCAGGCAACTACTTCATTGTGCGCGCTGGTTTTATGTCTTCATAGCCGGTGATTGACAAGGTGTAATTAGTCATCTCACTCGGTGATAAACATGGGCACCCTCCTCCCGCGGCATCAGGCCGTGTGTACCAGCAGAGGAAGCGATAGTTGACGCTGATATACCATTAAATCAAAATGAAGACGTTCAGAAGTGTGTGTTTGCTGTGACGCTCTGATGGTTTATTTCTCAAATACGGCACCAACAGATTTACTTGATTTGCAAGTTAACTACAACATTAACTGGTTTTATTTATTTTGCCTCTTCTTTCCTTTTCCTAGGCAGGGATGTTGCTCTTGGAGAATGTGAAGACAGTTTGCTTCTTGACAAGCGAGCGAACGGGCGCCCAGATTTTTGCAGCCTCTCGAGTCTCTCCCGAGGGAAAGGCAGGCAGAGAAAACGCCTGATTTGGGAGCCACCAGGGAAGGATTCCGCGCAGGGGGAGCCGCCCTCTTTGGCCCCAGACCGGCCTGCCGGGGACCCCCTTTGGGCATAGCCAATGGATGACCTGAAACACTGAGGATGGTTCTGGGGATTGGGGTGGGGAAAGCCTTTTGGATAATAACTGCAAAGAAGAAAGAGGCGAAGACAACTGTTTCTTCTCTGCCTTGCAGCAGGAGGAACTGTGTTCTTAAAGCTGTTGGCTACAGTCACAGGGCCAGTTGCCTGCCTCCGTTCCCTGAGTAAAGTGTAATGTCTCCTGTTTTCAGGGTTGCACCCTTCAGCAAATTATATATCTTGCTTGACTGTGAAGTAGGTCTTGCTAAGGAAGTGTGTGTGTGTGTGTGTGTGTGTGTGTTTATGGGGGTGTGTCTCTCTACAGTGAGGCTGCTACTAGAGGTGCTAGTTATTCATTTCAAAAACCTGGTGGTTAAAAACTTTAAAAAGGGAGGGAGCATTGCTGGTTGGGCTCCCTGGGATTGCTGGGGTCTGTCTTGACTCTAATTCTTGGTAGAGAATGGCACGGACTGAACAAAACTACCACCACCAACTGAAAGCCCACTGCCAGTGTATCACACAGGCCCCCAGGAACCCCCCAGTGGGGAAAGCTCCCTGCACTTTCCCCTTCTCTCAAACCTTGAGTTTGCTTAGCAGAGGAATGATGATTCCTTGCCACTATGCAGGAATGTGGGGTTGTGGACATCTCCAAGAAGAGATAGGGTGAAGCCGAGCCACGAGGATGGCAGAAAAGTTCCATATTTTCAAAAATGACCCCCTTCTACCCAGGCCTGTGCAGGGGAGGCAAATAGGGGAGTGTTTTATACTGATGTGAGAGGCTGTCAGTCAGCAGCAAATCAGCTCAGGCATGGCCACTTTATGAAATCAACTCTTTGCCTTGGTCAAACCTTACCAAAAATCTGCTGGTTACTCCTACTGACAATATAAATTAGCTGGTCCTTAGTTTTTTCGAGGAAGAACACCATGTCTGTTGATAGATAAATGGCTTGGCCCGACTCAGGCAGAGAGGAGCCCAATTCCTCCTCCTCTTATCCCTGCAGCGATCTGAACAGTTCCGAAACCGCCTCCCAGGGCGTCAGCTGAGCAGGTTGGGGAACTAACCAGGGCCCTCTCTCTAGGGCCCTGTTAAATGCACTGAACTTAAAATGAAACACGAAGTGTGAATTTCAGGTTTGAACATGATGCATCAGGAAACGTGGAGGTTGGCAGCCCTTTTCTCCCTCCTGCCTTTCGGTAGCAGGTATTAATATTGTATTAAATGTTATGAGAAAGTAAGGGCTACGGAGAGGAATGTGCTCAGATGCAATTTTGTCAAGGTTTTTATCTGTGATTATGATTCCAGATGTAGAAACTCCCGGAGGAGGGAAATGAGGGGCTGCTGGCGTGTGACATGTGTTTTAAGG